TGTTTTATTCTAGACTGAGATTGATGTAATAGCAAATGCTGAACAGTTACATGTATTTAGACTTAATTTACAAGAAAAATCCTAGTAATACTAGGTGAGCATCATAATCACTGATTGCATATGCCCGAATAAAAGGAAAAAAAAAAAAAAAAAGTATGTCTATATTTTAATAGATTCTAGTTTTATAATATTGTTTTTTATTATTAATAGATTTTAAATGTTAAAGAAAGTTATTAAAAAAGTTTAAATAGTCATCAATGCAGTGAAGAATCTAATTATTTTTAATATAAAGATCTTTAATTTATAAAGTTTAAAGAAATCTATGTTAAAGATAATTAAGATCTTTAAAGCAAAGATTTGCTTGAGTTAATAAAATAACATTCTTAAGTCTACATTAATTATAAAGACAGAGAGTATTTTAACTTTAATTATAATTTTATTAATTTTAATATTTAAGTCTTTAATAAAACACACTGCTTTATTAATTAAGAAATTTTAAAAGATTAAATATATGTAATTTATAAATGATAAATTATATTACAATCTCTAAGCATGACAGTAAGTTTATAGTTTTAAGACTTGTGTTAATATCTTTTCTTTTAATAATGTTTTTTAATAAATGACTGTTTATAGATTTTATTAAACTTGTTTAAGTACTTCTGACAATGTTTAAGATGTTTAATAACTCTTAAAAGTTTTCTACTTTAATACAGTTTTTTTATTTAACAAGATATTGCATTTTTTCTCTATATTTACATTTATTTAATATAGATTTAACTTCTTATTTCTTCTGTGTATTAATGAAAATAGATTCAGCTTTAAGTATTTTGTTATTATATACATAATACAGCTTAAGTAAAGAAATGTAAAATATAAAATAAATATTATAATATTAAGATGTAAGTTTTAATTTATATGCTTGTTTTTCTTGTATATTAATAATTTAAAAAGATTTTAAAAAACAATGATTTAATTTTAATAAAGTTTATAATATTAAGATGTTTTTACTTTGCAACATGACTTAATTCTTTATATTAAATGTTTTAAAAATATAATATTAATTATAGTATTTTTTTTAATGTTTTTCATGACTTGTAAGTAACTTTACATTTTTTTCTTTATTTTCTTTATCTTTTTTATCTGTTTCAATGCATTTTTTATTACATTCTTTATTAAAGATTTAATATTAATTTATAATTTAATTGTTTTATTTATTATAGCTTTAAAAAAAGACATCTTAATAATAAAATGATGTACATTGTTATATGCTTATTATGTAAGCAGTAGTTAATCTATTTAATCATTTTATTAATAACTGTAATAGAACTGTACGAAGGTTACCTCATCAAAAATTTATCTTTTTAATTACAATTATATTACAATCACATACAGGTTTCAGAGAAACACAGAGAGCATTAGCTTAACTACACAGTCTTAAACATTATGATTAAAGCGTTGAGAGTTAATAATGATGAGAGAAATATGAATGCGCGCGCAGTGTAATGTGTATTTAAAAAGAAAACATAGAAGAAACAAGAATCAGCAAGCAACATGTCAGTAACACTATATATAATTATTAATACTCTTAAAGAGAAAGAGAAGAATAAAGAAATGAATAAGAAAGAGTTAGTATATATTTAAAAGACATTAAAAGTAGTTAACAGACTTAAGAAGAAGCTTTTTACCAGTGTACTTAGTAAACTAAAGAGCATAATAAGTATACTTAGCAAGCTGAAAGATGTAACAGATATACTTAACAAGTTAAAAAACATAACAAGCACACTTTAACAGAAGAAAAAGTGTGTTAAGCAAAACAATGAGAATATTTAAATAAAAGTCATGATCTTAAAAAAGTTTTTAATAAAGATAATGACAGAGTGTGCTTTAAGAGAGATTATAATCTTATAATATAACTGTAATGTAATTTTAAAGATAGAACATACATTAGAGATAATAGTCAGAAAGACTAATAATATAATAAATAAAATAATTACAGACAAAATAGTAGCTGTGTAATACATGTTTAACAATGATCTGATATTGATTATAAACACATTTAATACAAAAGCTGAATTAATTAAAAACAATGTATGAATGAAAAAATGAGATGAAAAAGTATACATAAGAAAGAAAATGTATATAATACTAGTTAAGAGCACATCTTTAAAGACTGTTAATTAAGAGAACTCAGTTAAGATAATTAAAGATATTTATAAACAGAATTCAACACTGAGATGCAGGATGTTAATTTACAAGACTTTAAAAAGACTTTTAAAACAGTAGAAATTATACAGAAGTATTGTAATATATATAGTAATTTTATAACAGACAAATACATTGATGAAAGAAGGTTTTATTCTAGAAAATAAATACTACATGACAGAAATCTTTTACAAAGAGGTCTAGATTATATAATACTATAACTGTCATTAGTATGATTACATTGTTAAGGCCCGGTGGTGTAGCGGTTAACACACCACTGGTGTTCCAGAAGGAGCGCGGGTTCGAATCCCGCAGGGCTTACATTAACCAATTTCCACTGTTAAATCATAAAACAGTACTGGAAGTTCTCTCGAGAACTACCGGGCGCTAATTCTCACTGATCTTGTGAGGCTAATACCCCCCGTGCGCTTCAAGTTAGATCAGTACTAGATAGGTATAGTGAAGTGACTAGTGAGGCGGGGGTGAAAACCCGCAGGATAGCGATTCATCGTCAAGCTTAACTGGCCCAAGGTTCATACACCGCCTCACTAGAGGAACTTCAATAGATCAATCTAGACACCCATAAATTCCGGGGAATTGAAATTTAAAAACTACCCGATCAGGGCACCCTGGGCCTAGCGAGCAACTAGGTGAGACGAGGCCTAGAGACTCTTAATAGGTGGTTAGTGCAAGCAAGGTTGACGGCTAATTGATAGGCTGAAATGCCGAGGTTAGCAGCCGGAAGGTCGGGGGGATTGACTAGAACTAGGTAGCTCTGGTGTTATTCTTAGTGAGGATCTTACTTGATAAGCTAGCTAAAAAGCCCGGTTGAGCAGCGGCGCTCTAGAGGGAATGATAACCTTTAATAGCGGCCCGAGAGGACAGAGGCGGCGGTTGGTTATATAGAGTGTTAAAATATGTATATAGCTTAAGATGTAAACTGCAGGGGTTTGTTCTGTAGTTTCTTTTGTTTATTTATTTAGTTAGTTGATTTTTATGCTGCAGCGCTTCTTTTACACTTTTATATGTTTTAAACTTATTTTCTCAAACTGCTCTTGTTTAATTTATATAATGCTTATAAAGTTGTGTTTTATTCTGAGCTGAGATTGATGTAATAGCAAATGCTGAACAGTTATATGTATTTAGACTTAATTTACAAGAAAAATCCTAGTAATACTAGATGGGCATTATAATCACTGATTGCATATGCCTGAATGAAAGGAAAAAAAAAAAAAAAAAAAAAAAAAAAAAAA